AAACTGTGCCAAAGTCTTTGAAATAGTGGAGAAAAAGCAAGAAGCACGCCCAGAACAAGCAGAGAACACGCAAGAGGGACAAAGGCTCCAGACAAGCGTAGATGTGTGAGATTTATATTTTTTGGACAGACACGGTAGAGCGGGCGAAATAAATTAAATCGTTTTTTGAATGACGATCGATTTAGTCCACCTTCCTCCTGAAGGAGCAACCCTCAGTAAGACGGCAACGGCCACCAGTGGGCTGGCACAGCACGGTCGAGCAGCCGGAGCACAGCACGACGGTCTGGGCCTGTAGGAGTCGTAGTGAGAATGAGGCTCTGCTCGAAATGGAGGAGTGGGGCGAAGAAAATGAGCAAAGGGGAGTATGGACGTACGTGGGAGAACACGGTGGTGATGTTGAAGCAGCCGGGGCACTTGACATCCATGAAGTAGCTGTTGGGGCTCTGGACCAAGCGCTTGAGCTTGTGCTTGCGGGCCTCAGCCTTGGGGTTGGGGTGAAGGAGATCCTCGCTCTGTTACATCAATACAAAGGCGTCCATTAGTTCAGCGCGGAGGTCCGGAAGCATGATGCGCCTCAAAATTCGAGCTCCATCTTCCCGCAAGCGGGATGACATCTCTTAACCCATCGCCCTTCTATGCACACAGCCGCAAGGAGGACTGCCACAGGCCAATCTAACACCCAAATCCATAAATCGAGGGAGAGAACCGTACCATGGTGCTGTCGTGGATGGAGGCTGGGGGAAGGAGAAGGAGAAAGAAGGCAAACAAAGCTGTCGACCATTTTTGTCCACCACCGTCGGCAGTAATAAGCCGGCACAATAATCAAAAATGATTGTATTTCCTTGTATTTCCTTTGTCCGAAAAAGGTTTTTGCCTTGTGCCAGCTCGACCAAGCGCGAGGCGATTGTTACAATCACACGACCACCGAGCAGTGGTTGATGATGGTCCTGGGCGTCTAGCACTTGGAGATGTCGCGTCCGAACAGCAACTCCTTCATCCAGTCCATGGCCACCATGAACTTGTTGCGCCAGCTCACCTGTGTATTTGCCACCATTTTGAGATCGCTTTCCTCGTCAACAACCACTCACTCCAAGTTTGTGACCAAGCACACGTACCTGCTTGGCGAGGTAAGCCGAGCGCCAGGCAAACCAAGTGGTGAACCCCCCAAAGCTGAACCCGCCAGGGAGTTCCAGCACTGCCGATAGAGGAGATGACCATGAGCAGGCTTCCAATACCGCGTCACTGCGCATCGCGTGGACAGGGCCAGTACCCGATTCCCTTGCGCCGATATACGCCAGTGAGCCCAGAGGCTTGTAGTGAAACTGCTCCACCTCTTGTCCGCGCGCCAAGGCGTTCAAGGCCTGGCCGAGGTACTTGCCCTCCTGCGATGCAACCTGAGCCGTGGCCTGGAGGCAAGAGCGACAGATCGGGTGAGCGGGGGTACATGTGTACTTTGCGTATGGAGGAGCGTGGGCGGTACCGGCAGCTCGACTAGGTTCTTGTCGACTTCGGTGAGCAGGGCCTTGAACTCTTCTCTGTCGAGGACCTGGTTCTTGTCCAAATCCACCGTTTCGAACAGTTCCTGCATCTTGGCAGCGTAGATGAGAAGCTGCGGGTATTCGTCCTTGTTCTTGACCACCAGCGCACTCAGCTCGTCGAAACTGACCACTCCGTCCTACACCGGCGTTAGTATTGTAAAACGAGACCACGTCACTGAGCGAGTAGTGGTCTATTACCTTGTTTTCATCGGCTTGATCGAAGAGATCCACGAACTTGGACAGAAGCCTCCTCTGTTCGACAGTGCCGCAATCGCCTTTCCAACGACCACGACACACACCACCGCACACACGCGCATGTTCCGTAAGCAAACATCTTCTAAGAAGGAATAAAGCACGAGGCGCACGCGTTACCGATGGCGTAGACGTTGGTGGTGCCCAGCACGCGGAGGTGGCTGTCGGTCACAATCGCGCGACGGTTGGTCTGCTCCTTGATGGTGGAGCAGAACTTCTTGACCAGCGGACGAGGCCCAATTCCTGATTGAATGTCGGAGGAATGCGGGCGTCAGGCTCCCCATTCCGGGCATCAACCCAAGCACCACGTAAAAACAGCGGGCCATGCAACGTGCCGGTAGCCCAGACGCACATGCCGTAGGGAAGCGTCTCGGTCTTGTTGGTCTGCTTGTCGTTGTACGATAGGGTCTTTTCGTCCACGGAGAGGACCCTGTGTGCAGTTTTGTGGTGGTACGTTTGGCTCGGCCTTATGAGGTGCACCAACCAATCGATCAATCAAGGCAAACAGCAGACGCACCGGCAAAGCGGCTTGACGTTGATGTCATCTCGACCGAATCTCTTCTCGGCATCTGATATCGCGGGTGTGAGGATTGGCGCGCGTTCGAGCTGTTAGGACAAGCAGCGCCGCAGGGGGGGGGAGGCTTACAGTCAGAGATCTTGGCATCGTAGGTGTTGAGGATATGGGCCGCGCTCTGGATGATGGTGATGCGGACGTGCTGCGTGAGCGACCTCGGGAACCACTTCTCCAAATCCTCCACCAGCAAATCTACAACCAAGCAATCCCCGATCCAATGCCGGGGCACATATGTGAGCATGATGCAAACAACATGGAAACTACTCCAGTGAGACTACTACAGCAGTACCGTGGAGCTCGGCCGCGAACTCCACTCCGGTGGGTCCTCCGCCGACCACGACGAAGTGCAGGAGACGCTTGATCTCTTCCTGTACGCGCGATTAACAAGAATTCAAGTTAATGCCCGCGTCCGTCCCTCTAGACCATTGGGTGCGTGCCGAGAATCATGTACCTCTGGCTGGCCGGGCAGGCCGGCGACCTCAAAGTTCTGCGTAATCTGCTGCCTGATCCGGCGGGCGTCTGTTTGCGGCAAACACGAGTGAACGGAGCGGTGAGCACGCAAATGACAACGAATGGGTTCGTTGGCGTCTTTGCTGCTGGGAAAGGACGGGTCAGGTGCCACGCACCATTCAGCTCCTTGAGGAAGTGGCAGTACTTCTCCACGCCGGGCGTGCCAAAGGTGGTGTTGTCGCAGCCCACCGCCACGATCAGCTGATCGTACTCAAGATCGAACGAGCGGACCGCGCCGTCACCACTCACGTCTGCGTTTCGAAAAGGCGACGGGTGTGAGTCGTGCGGTGTGCGCGGCACCACCGTGTGGGTTAGGAGGGGGGCGGGTGGGTGGTGGAGTGGCATTACCGTTGCAGGTGATGCTGTTGCTCTGGTGGTTGATGGCCGTGCACTCGGCATTGAGGAACTGCACGTCCGAGGCGCCGGCCCTCTTGAAGGTGCGTCGGATCGACTCAACAACACTAGTGTTACGCAGAGAAGAGGGCACTCGACCCAGCATTAGAGCGACATCGCGAGCTTGCGTGTGCGTGTGGTGCCGTGAACGGTGGTGCATGTGCGTTGGTGCCCACGAATGCGCAGAGTTTGCTTAGCAGTACCTCCTCGAGTCAAGCGTGCCAACGGTGACGGAGGGAAGGAGCGGGGTGAACAGGAAGTAGTTGCGTGGCGACACGACCACAACCTAGGTAGCGTGGACCACGCCCGCGCCCGCGTTAGCTTTGGGTGACGCGGACGGGGGCATAGCATAGCAGAAGAAGATAGTACCTCGTAGGCTTCGTTGTCGAGCTCCCGCAGCACACCGACGGCCGCCCAGCCCGAGCCGAGGATGACGACCCTCTTCTTGGTGCGCATGGGCTTGTCGGCGCCTCCCTGTTGTTCACGCTGGACCGCCCTATCGACCGGCGGGTCTGCCCAGACCGAGGCCGAGTTGCTAAGGTCAGTGGCAGCGAAGAAGTGCCACAGCGTAGGGGGGCAGGGGAGTACTCTGCGAGACGATGGAGGGCGGGGCCTTGGCGTTGGGAGTGGTCTTCTCTTCGGCACGCACGGCACTCACTACACCGGGCGGTCAGGCCATCAGCACATATCGCACCGCATTGAGCGATTGAGAGGCAGGGCGCTGGTACCGAAGGGCGTGCGGGAGAGGAGGGAGTCGTTTTCGTCGTCTTGCAGGCCCTCCAGCGCAACCGCGCCGAGCGCGCCTGCCGCGACCACCAGCCCAGCCACCGTTCCCACCCCGCGCCAACCACCCCTCCCGCCTGGACACACCAGTCATGTCAGGTCAGCCAAGCCCAGGAAACCCAACCGCCCCAGCACGGCCACTCAAGGGGGGGGGGCGTGAACCTGCGCTGCTGGTGGCAAGAGCTCTACGCTGCTGCACCCAACCGCCACCGCCACAGAAGAGCCTGCTGCCCGCAGTAGTAGCAGCACGACCGCGAGCAGCACAACCAGGCGCGACGAGGCTTCTTGTACAGGCTGCCCTCATTTTTTCTTCTTCTTAAGCAACACCACTTGTTCTGTTTCGTTCTTTGGTCGTCACCAGCTTCAGTGCCCGTCAGCCCAAAGGCTCCAGGTCCCTCGGTATTGGCTGCACCATTTCCTTTTGATTTTCACTTCGCTTAGAACGAGGAAAAGCGAAAGAAACAAAAAAGACGAGGAATGCAGTCGATGAAGTCAATGGCATTTGATTTGCTGCAGGGGGGCAACTTGGATTAGTGATATTATGTACTACGGCCCAACGTTCTTGGGCCATTCGTGGTCCAGCTAGGAAGAGGAAGTGGAAGGTGTGGCGGCTGCCGAATCGGCGGCAGTCGCGGCAACGGCTGAGTAGATGGCGTCGCCAGCCACGCCAACAAGCGCCTCAGACTCGTTGTACTTCTTGGATTCCTTCTTCGCGGCAGTCGTAGCCGACTGGCCGGCAAGCGCACCTGCAAGCATCCAACCAACATTCATCCAAGATGTATGAGTTGGAGCAGAAGTTGAGCCACAAGACAAGATTATGAGGGATACCCTCAGGCTTGGGCAAGAGACTGGACATCTTCTTCGTTGGTGTTGCTGTAAAGTAAAGGTGATGGTGCTTAGAAGCGTCAACCCTTTTCTGCCCCCAAATTCATTTCACAGAGCCCGCTGTGGGCCAACGTAGCGGTGTTGTGTTGTGGTGTGTCGTCTACACTGCAGCACCGCGTTCATGAAGGTAGGCATGTATTGCTGTTGTTGTTGCTGATTTTGAAGAGTGGCGGTGGTGGGCCGAAGCTTTAGCCCATGAAAATGTCCTTGGCCACGGAGAAGGCCTTGGCGATCGTCTGCTCGGAGATGGGCCCGCCGCTGCCGCCACTGGCCTCCGCCGCCGTGTCTCGCATCGCCACCCGGTCGGCGATGGCCTTGGGGTCGCTTTCCAACACGATCCTTTGTGATATGAGCCACCCACGAACGTTAGCAGCACAGCCCTGGGCACCACACAACTCTGCATTCATGAATGACGCACCCGCCGTCCACCAGTTCATCGACAACCAGGTAGAGGTAGTCCAGATTCTCGGCGAGCGTCCGCCTGTCGACTTGGTTCCATGTGGACTCGTCCGCCCTGCTTGGTCCACAAACAAAACCGAGGGTGAGTGAGCGCTAACAAACGCGGGGAGAGGAAGGCCGCGGCCTCCGACGTACCTGAGAAGGAAGCTGATGGCCTCGGTGAGGGTGGAGAGTACGCTCTCCAGGAGCAGCTCGTTCTCGTCCGAGTCGCCGACCACGTAGAAGGCTACGTCGCCCGAGTTCTTGTAGACGATCACGTTGTTATCCAGCGCGATGATTTGGGCTATGCGGGGCACGGTGGCGACCACACAGGCAACACCAGCACGAACAATGAGTCAATCGCTGCACTCGCTTCGCGCTCGCTCGTCGCCAGCCTTCTTGTGGAGCTGGTGCAGAGGAGATAGTGCGTACCGTGGGGCTGCGCCTTTTTGTGGAGCTGCTTCTCGAAGGCCAGCTGCTTGTCGAGGGGACCCCAGTCGTCGGTGAAGTACCGCGCACACAGCCGTCCGCCTTCTTGGTCAAGCACCAAGATCGCCTTCACGCAGTACAGAGCCTTGGCACACATAATCAAAGTGCGCAAGCAAAATGGATGGATTAAAAGGTGAACAATGGCAGGGTGACAAAAAGCGAAGATGAAAAGCGAAGGCAAAGAACGAAAGAGATGAAAAGATCGGACACATGTGAATCTGATGATGAGAGATGAGAGTTCCATCCTTCGCTTGCTTGCGGAAGGAGATGGATTGGGTGGGGGGGGGGGGCGAAGAGAACAAACTGAATCAAAAGAAAGCGGATCGATCGAGATGATTGATGGAGGCAGATTGGCGCAATAAGACATTGAGAGAACTATAACCCAGTGTGGCCTTACCATAGTGAGGTTGATCTGCTCTCTCCTCGTGCTTCCGCTCGTGTGCGGATTTAAGATCTGATTCTTGCCACGTCGGCAAACAAAATTCAGAATAAAGCCACAAACAAGAAGAGACACAGCAAGCATGGTGGTGATCCGCGTTGGTTCGATCAAATAAACAAAAGTGGGGAAGAAGAAGAGAGGACATCAATACATTGCATTGTCAGCTATCCCGTGTGTCCATCTCTGTTCTTCTTTATCTTGACGGTCGGACCCAGCGCTTAGTTGGTCTTCTTCTTCTGGACGGAGTGGGCGCCAGTGTTGTAGATGACACCCTTGTACTGGCCAGTGAGCTTCTTGGCCAGCAGGATGAAGAGCTCGAAGGTGATCACGATCACGAACTCGGGCTTCAGCAGGGCGGTCTTGGGCACACGACCGGTCATGATGTCGGCCCACCTGGATGTGGCCACGTGAAGAAGAACGTCACAGTGAGTTCACTCCTTGCCATCAAACAGAACGAAAGCGAAAAGAGTGTTGATTCAAAGTGCAGCCTCAGAAAGTTGTAGTTGTTGTTTGGTGTGAGCTCATTCAAGCCGTCGTATTGCAGTTAAATTTGAGCATCGTTGGCAGTGGAAGGTGCAAAAAGAGAAGAGAGAGGGCGGGCATACCTGGCGAGGAACTTGTCGCCCTTCCGGCGGACGGCAGCGGTGGCGGCATCGATGAGGACGGGGAAACGGTAGAGGAACTGGCAGATGTTCATCGACCAGGTGAAGTCATTGCCGAAACGCTCCATCCAGCGCTCGTGGTAGATCTGCATGGCCTCGGCGGAGAAGTTGCCGGCGGCGATGGCCTCAAGCATGAACTCGGCGGCAATCTTGCCTCCCTCCATGGCGTGGTGAATGCCCTCACCGGTGAGGGGATCGATCATGCCAGCAGCGTCACCGACGATGAGGAGGTGGTCGCCCGACGAGGTGGGCACACCACCAAGACGGAGGGAACCAGCCTGATGAAGGAAAAGAGGAGGAAAGCAGTTAGCATCAACAACAGATGGATAGGAGAGGCGATGGGGAGAAAGAGTCGCATGTGACGCCGCCACGCACCCTCATCCTCTCAATCTTGAACTTGTTGCCGAGGGCCTTGCTCACGTTGGGGTCCTCCTTGATCAGATACTCGTGCCAGTAGGCCAAATCGTCGTTGGTCACAAGCGGGTTGCCGGGAATAAGGTAGCAGCAGTAGTTCAGCTCATCGTTGGGGTGCTTGAACAGCGCGGCGTAGCCGGGAAGAAGTCTGCCAAAGTTGCCGCAAAAACGCTGGGTCAGGGCGCGTTGTGATTTGAAAGAACGCGTTTCTTGAATGAAACGTACCCAGTGTTGTAGAAGACGACACCATCAGCCTTGAGGTTGTGAGTACCACCCTCAACGAAGGCCCTGCTGCAGGCACCGTTGGGGGCACCCTTGACAACGCCGAGCTGCATGGCTGTATGCGTAGCGGGATGAGATGTTTGCAGCAGCGAAATAACAACAAAAGGCGGATTGAGAATCGGTGGCTGGGCCACATACCGAGCTTGGAAGTGGCACCGTCGGCGCACACGAGCGTGCGAGCCTGGTAGGTAGTCACCTGCAAAATGGAAGAAGCAATGAGCCGACGTCGGGTTCAGGGTCGGCAGGAATGGAGTTGAGTTGAGTTGGCCGGGGGCACGTACGCCATCCTCAAGGATAACGGTCCACAGACCCTTCTCCTTGTCGAACTTGGCGTCGGCGACGGGGGAGTTCTCCTTCAGGTCGGCACCAACCTCCTGGCACCTGCGAGCAATCGCCTCATCGAGAAGCAACCTAGGAAATGAAATTGATTGGCATACGCGTTGGGAATGAGTTTTGAATTCGTAGATCGCGAACTCAGCACGGGGAGGAGTCGTGAGCACCTCTTGATGGCAATGGCGGCGGGGATCTCACCGAGCTGCTCGTGCGAGCGACCAATGTACGAAATGCCTCCGGGGCTGACAAGACCGCCAGAATCGGCCTGCATGAGTCGGCGATTAATTTAATTTTCATCATCTGGGTGAGGTGGTGGTCGTGCGAAGCTTCTACGCACCACTTTAGCCTTGTTCTCCTTGATGAGCTTTTCGTACAGGCCCATGTCCATGAGGATCTCGATGGCAGTCTTGCACACGGCATCACCGCAGTACTTGTCGCGAGGGAACTGCTTCTTCTCAAGAACGAGAGGCTGTTTCGGCCATCACCATCAACAACAACATAACAATAAAACCACGGCGTGGATGTCAGGCAAAACTGAGAACGCGGCATAAGAACGAAGACGAAGACGAAAAGGCACCTTGATTCCGCCCTTGGCGAGGTAGTAGGCCATGGTGGCACCGGAGGGACCGGCGCCTACGATAGCAACGTCATAGAACTCCTTCTCCTTGTTCTGAATCATTAAAGGGGTTAATAGAGATAATTTTGAATCGATTATCTCAGGTGTAGTGAAATGATACCTTGTCGTTGTACTTGCCCTTGGGGATGGAGCGCTTGACGGGCTTCGACGAGAACAGCACGCTCTTGGCGACGAAGTAGAGCACAACGCCGGCGACGAGCGAGATGATAGGATGAGCAAACACGAAATCGAGCACCATTCTTGCAGAATTAATCAAGCAGCGTAGTCAACTGCTCAGCGAGGTGCGGGTCTTCCTCTCGCGAGATCGAACGTTGCTTGCAGCGGCCGGGCGAAGGAGAGACAAAAGAGCTAATAATCTCGGCGGCGTAAAAAGCAATACTCCGGAGATGGGGCGAGCCGCCACCCCAGACAGCCAAAGCGAACAGGCCAGACAACCAAGACCTGCGACTTTGCCTGGTTCGCGCCAAAAACTCTTTTCTTGTTGGTCGTCCGTGTCCGCTGAATACACCAATCGCCGCGTCCTATTTTTGTTCATTTTTATACTGCTGGGACCAACAACATGGCCACGGCAGGTGGTGACTCGCCGTAGTGTTCTTCTTTGTTTTGTTTATTTCTGACCCAACGCAAACAGGCCTGGCGACGACGTGAGAGAAGGCAATCTAGGCCCACGCGTTGCCCACGCCAAGGCCGACCTCTGGCTCTTGCGTGAGACCCATGAGGTCGAGTACCGACTGCACCTTCTTGGCCGAGGCCGAAGTGGCAGTCTTGTCGACCGCGGCCGCTGCTTTGCCCTTGCCCTTCTTGTTGGTGGACTGCTGCTGCTGACCACCGCTCTTCGGGGTATCGGAGGCCTTGATGACCTCGAGCAGTCCGCTGTTGCCGGTGACGAGCTGCACATGCTCTTCGAGCTTCCGCTCGATCTCGCCCTTCTCTTCCTCGACCGGTTCCATCTCCGGTTCCCTCTTCGGCGCACTCTTCTTGCCGGCCGTCGCCCTCATCTCCCGGCTTCGCTCGTCAAACTTGTTGGCCGGCTTCTTCTTGTTGTTGGTGGTGGTGGTGGCGGCGGCGCTGGCGGCATTCGCCCGAGCGGTGGGCGCTTCTCGCTTCTTCGGGTCGTTCGTCGTCTTGTTCTTTTCCGTCTCGCTCCTGCCCTTCTTTGCCTGAGGCTGAGTCGGTTTGCTGGCGTCGACTTTTTCATCACGCGCGCTTCTCTTCTTGCTTGATTGCTCCGCCATCTTGACGGCCGCCTTGGCCTGGGCCGCCGGCTCCGGCTTTTCGTTTTGCGGCTCGGTACGGGTCTTCTTCTGCGTCCTCCCCTTGAGGCTCTCCTCCTTCTCGCTCTCCTCTCGCGTTCGCTTCCCGGCCGCCTTCGGTGGTGCGGCCTTCTCCTGGGCTTCCCCTACCTTCTTCGGCGCTGGCGGGGCCTCCAGTCGCTTACCCTTGGCCTTGGCGCCTCGCTCCGCTCCGTTGGCCTGTTCGCCGTCCTCCGCGTGCGGCGCTTCTTCTTCGCCCTTCCCCCCACCGGCATCCTTCTTGCCGTGCTGGGCTGCCCACCTCGCAGCCCAGGCCTTGCGCTTACGCACGAGCTCGGTCGAGATCTGCTTGCCGTCAAGGATCTTCAAATTGGGCAGCATGGTCAAGATCTGTCAACAGAGCAATGGTGTAAGAGCCACGAACACTTAAAAAGGGGGCAGAAAGAGAGGGAGAGAGATGTGAGAGGAAGAGGACAGCGTACGCTGTCTCGGTAGACGCTTTCTTCGGCCAGGGGGTTGCCGGCGAGGGTCAAGCTCTTCAACTTGGGCAGCTTGGCCAGCTTCTCGACATCGCTGTAGGTCACCACGGAGTCAGTTTTTGTGGACCGACGGCACTCGAGCCGAGTGCGCAGCTGGAAGGTGAGAAAGTACGCGCGCACCTCCACTCCTTGATGAGATTCTTGCCCAAGTCCAGGATCTTGATGTGCGGGTTGAGGTGGATCGTGTCGGGTATGCTCAAGATCTTGTTTCCATTCAAGCGCAGCTCCTGTGTTTGTGCGAAATCGTCACCGGTGGCCCAGTACAGTAGTGAGTGGTTGGCCGTGATGCAAGAAGGGGTGGTTGCGAAAGGGGTGGACCTGACCTGAAGTTCGAAGTTCTTCTCGAACGACGGAACGACTCGGATGTAGTTGTTCGACAGCGCCAGCTTCTTCAGCTTGCTCAGTGTGTTGAGGCCCTTCACCTCGGTGATGGCGTTATCGGACAGAACTGTACGGGGCGACCCCCAACGCACTCACGATCAGCAACGTCTGGCGTCAATGCACAAGCCACAAACAGTGGGCACAGGGGCATTACCCAGGGTGTTGAGCTCGCGAAGACAGCCCAGGCCTTCCATCTCAGAAATCTTGTTCTTGTTGAGCATGAGCGCTGCAGCACGTGCATCAGCCAGACAAACATCAGAAGGAGCACATGGGTGTTGCGCGTGGTGGTGTAGGTACCTTTGAGCTGAGTGAAAGTCGACAGACCATCGATGCGCTCGATCTGGTTATCGCTCGCACTGAGGACTGATTGAGGAATGAAATTAAATCAGCAAATTTGGATCACGTTGAAATGCGGATAAAGAATGAAGGAGGGAAACCGTTGAGCTTGGTCATCATCTGGAGGCCAACGATGCTAGTAAGCTTGTTCGAAGAGAGATTGAGCCAGGTGATTTCCTTCAAGAAGTTGATGCCATACACCTTCGACAGCTGATTCTGGCTCAAATCGAGGCGCTTGAGCTCTACGCAGCACGAGATGTCATCCATTTCCTTAATCTCCTTCTTGCTGAGATCCAATTTCTCCACCGTTCGGACATCTTGGCCCGCAATGCCGCCAATGTAGGCCGGCGTCAGTTTCATTGCTGCAGGCAGAAGTTGAATGAACGTTGGATGTTGCGAGTGTAGTGCGTTGGCAAATCGATCAATTTGCAGAAGTAAAACAGAACTTGAATTCCCGCTTTTTTCTTTTTGTCAATTTTGAAATATGAAATCAAAATAAACAGAACGTGAGAAAACGACGTCGAGCGAGCGGTGGTGTCGCGAGATGATCTACCATTCAGTCTACGGCGGAATAGTGGCCGCGTGGACGTGGGGCGGAGGTGGACTGAATGTGGCCTCGTTTCTCATGTTTGCCGGTTCCCTTATCTGGCATCTAGTCATCATTTCGCGCCATCGACGAGCACTGAAGGAAATCAGAACATCTCTGCCACCCATCCGCACCGAATGGGTAGAAATGACCGAGAGCAGGAGCGACGACAGCCTTCTAGTTTCGTCCCAGTTCGTGTCGTCTCTGCCTGGCGAGGTCGACGATGAAGCAAATCACTCCCAGCCCGCCACCAGGCCTGGTTTGCCGCACCGGCGCCTGCCCTGGGTGCTGCTCCACCTCAGCTTCGGCCTATTCATGGCCAGTCTGTGCTTCTGGCCCTGGGTCTACGTGGCATTCGACCTGATGGACTTCTACCTCGGCCTGGTCGTGCTGTGGGCCATCGTGGCCGTCGCGTGGGTCATCGCCTCCGGACCCTCGCTCTTTCACGTGCTGCTCGACGTCTACGCGGGCACCGACGACGTCG